TGCTTATATGCCAGTACTGGCTCCTGCTCAAGACCCCACTTTGGTAATGAAACTAACAATTCCTGTTTTAATGTCAGATTTATATTGCATTTGTCTATATATCTCACTCTCACCTTCTTCCTCCTTCTTTGGCATGTTGTTGTTTTTCTTCCCCTTCCAGCTTTGCTTTTAGTACTGTTGGCTTAAACCTAACGGGATCCTACACCAATTAAAAGGCACCCATTTGAAATCTATGGTCCCAGTGCTAAGACATCTGGAAAAGTGTTATTTGTTGTGCAACATCCTTACTCTGATATGGACTGAATTTTGAAGCATTGAAAAACAGTAGTAATTAGAGGGGAAAACAGCCTGTAAAGGTTAACTTATGGGCCTTCTTTGGTTTAAGTTGGTGGTATCAAGAAATTTTAACAGATTTTAGTCTTTGTTAAAAGCTAAAGGTTATTTACGTTAACTTTGTATGAAGTCTCGTAGAGCAGAGACAGGGGGAGATTTCCCCAAAGCACCACGCAGGAACAGCTGCAGAGCCTTCTCTGGTGACTCCAGCAGCCACCACTAACTGAGAGGAGGTTGGCTGCTGGGGATCTCTGTAGAGCTCAGACCCCTGTAGCCTGTACACACTTTTTTCTTCTCTCTTAATTTACTATAATTTATGTGAAACCCTGTGGAACTTGATAACACTCAGCCTTCAGGCTCATGCCTGAGAATGCACCTAAGCATAAATTATTGCACAATAATTCAAGCCCTGTCTGGTCTTATTGCTTAATACAATTAGCACTGTGATATGAACCAAAATGTCTCGAAGTAAAATTGCACTTTTTCAACATTCAGTTGAAAGAAAAAAAAAAAAAACAACTTTTTTTTTGACTGAGGCAAAATATAACACCCTTTCATCTCAAGGCTCTCATTTTCATTTTTACAAGCCAGCAACTTTTGTTCTGTACGTAATGTGAGACGCCTTTTCATACATAGTCTGAGTTATTTCATCATTCAGAAGCAAATCAAAACCAGAAAGTTTCATGTGTTCCTGAATTTCATTTTTAATGGAAAGTATTTTTCCTCCAGGTTTTGGGTTTGGTTTTTTTTTTCCTTTTGTTCTTTTATTTGTTTGTTTGTTTTGTAATGCCAGCAGCAGAAGGGATAATACAGTACTGTGAAACAAATAGCTAGGAGACAGGAACTTCTATGTCACTGTCCTTGAAAAGTTTCCAAAATAAAGCAAGGGAGAACCTTCTTAGTGCTGTCCTAATGACAAATCAGATGGTTTCTACTTCTTTCAGCTTAGAATATGTGCAAATACACATCAGCATATAATGTAAACCCTAAGACCAACGCTTTAGCGTTAGAAAAACTGAAGATTAAGATTGTGAATCAAGCAATATCAGCTGTGCTGACAGCAGGACTTGAGAATTAAAGGTAGTGAAGCATTGGTGGCAGCCAGCTTATATGCTCTTCACATCTGTAGGAATGTGGAAAAGCTGGCCTTCTGCTAGAAAAGTCATCCTGTCACAGGATACAAGTATACAGCCTTCTGCAGCCCATGAAATTGCATTGACTGCACAGAAACAAGCCAAAGTCAAAGCAAACACTTTTCCATATGTATAACTTGCATCTGAAGTTACAGAACTTAATTTCTAAAAAGCTTACAGTGAGTTTTGCTTTGAAAAGTGCAGTTTATTCCTAGGCTAAAACTTCAAACACATTTTCACAGTTTGTTTGGTCTGGTTACTTTTTCAGTTCATGAGCAGTGATCCTCTCCCCCAGAAAAACAGTGATTACAGTGCTCATACCAATTCTTGTCAAGACAGGAAAACTGTTTAAAATAGTCTGTGTGATGGTTAATACACTAAGCCCCTGAGTGGTGCCATGGAGATTATTTTGCAAATGCACAAAATCTCCTTAACATACAAGAAAACATCTGCAACAAAACATCTATAACATAGAAATCGCTGGGAAACACAAAGAAGAAGAAGAAGAAAAAAGAAAGAAAGAAAGAAAGGAAGAAAGAAGGAAAGAGAGAGAGAAAGAGAGAGAGAAAGGAAAGGAAAGGAAAGGAAAGGAAAGGAAAGGAAAGGAAAGGAAAGGAAAGGAAAGGAAAGGAAAGGAAAGGAAAGGAAAGGAAAGG